GTGTATATATATATATATATATATATATATAGATATATATATGCTGAAATATTTCTTTCTGAAAATGTCTATTTTTAACAGAAAGAGCCAGAGCAGCTCTGTTCAGTTGAGGATATGTATCTCTTCTCTCTTCCTCACTACAGAGATATGGTATTGTTAAAGTTTTACTCTAACATACTCAGCATACATCAACATACCCGGTTGCAACAATAAATAAATAAATAAAGCTATCCTATGACTTTTTAACACTTTTTCCTTTTAACATGTCGCATACTGTCCATTCACAATGACTACCTTTCAAAACATTGTTTTTTAGGGATAGTTCACCTAAAAAAAATTTAATTCTGCCATAATTTACTCAATCCCACACTCTAAAAAATGCTGGGTTAAATACAACCCAGTGCTGGGTAAAATAGGGACAAACCCAGCAATTGGACTGTGGCAATTGGACCCAGCAATTGGACCCAGCAATTGTTAAATGTTTAACCCAACCTTCTGGGTAGTAACCCAACCGCTGGGTCAAAACAACCCAATTGCTGGGTTTGTCCCCATTTTACCCAGCACTGGGTTGTATTTAACCCAGCATTTTTTAGAGTGCACTTGTTTCAAACCTGAGTGAGTTTCTTTCTTCTGCTGAACACAAAAGAAGATATTTTAAAGAATGTGAGTAACCTCATTTGGTAACCGGTAGCCACTGACTTCCATAGTATTGAAAAAATAGGGTGAGATTTTTGGATGAACTATCCCTTGAAACAAATGGAAGAAACACACTGCAACTCTAAACCCAATTGTGTATTTCTAACAGTCAGATGCTGCCACCTATCAGCTATCACAACCTCATTATTTGCAAAGAGAAATTGCCAAAGATGATTGTCAAGATATTTTTCTGGAACCTGGTCTTCATTACATCTATTTTCTGTTTCTACTTTTGGGTTTTACTTCTGTATTTATTCATATTCCGTGTCAATTATCATTTATTATTATATTCAGCTAATAACTGTTGTTAGAGCACTGTCATAAATGCTATAATTTCATATGTCAAAAAAGTACCTAACTGTCACAACATGCTGTTGTGGTGTTGATGTAAAACCCTAATACTACAAGATATTATAAGACCAGGCAGATGAAAAAAAAGTATTATTATTAAAAATGTCTTTTACAAAACCATTAAGGTCCTATATAGCACTTTTAAAGCATGGTTCTTTATGGAACCTTATAAAAAGGGTTCAACTATTGTTACAAGCTGAAGAACCCTAAATTGTTGCTGTCTAGAACCATTCTTAAGAGTGTATATGTTCTTCCCAAACAGTGAAAACGTCTGCAGAAAGTCCTAGTGGTCATGACAGATTACCATTTATAAATGTCCTTGTTCCTTAATTCAGAAAAGAAAGTAATTAATTAAGAGAGAGAGAGAGAGAGAGAGAGAGAGAGAGAGATGTTTGTTTATATATATAAAAACAAACATAAATGCTAATTACAAAATAATATACCTACTGCTCTTCTTTCCAATATTGTACTGTGGTGTCAGCAGTTTTACAATCAACGAGGGGAAGTTGACATGACCATACCACACATTTGGTATCTAAAAAAAATGCCACAATTTCCTCTTTAACACTCTTTAACATGTGAAAATGTCATGTAAAAATGAATTGCTAGGTTCATGGGGTATAATAATGAAAAAATAAGAAGTAAAAAAAAATAATAATCAAATAATAAAAAAAAAACGACCCAA